CATGAAGAGGCCCAGGATAGAACAATTAGAAATGAAAGGATCTTGGCCCCCCCAAAAAAAATCAAACCGCCTTCGAAGAATTGGAAATGAGCAATGCCTGCAGGCGTTCGGGGTCCGGCCTGCCGGCGGTCGGACGACACTTTCTTGGCGAGGCCTCGCGGTCTGTGGCCGGGCAGCGTGCAGGCCACGGGCGCCTGCGCGCGCCCGCGCACCGCGCGGCGCCACGGTCTGCTCTCAGGCCTCGGGGCCCTGCGCACGGAGGGGAACGACAACGGCAGGGGAGATGAGGCTGCCAGCGGAGAGCGCGCAGGGCAATCGACTTTCCTCCTCCTCCTCCTCCTCCTCCTCCTCCTCCTCCTCCTCCCCCTGCTCCTCGGGACAAGTATGAGCACGGAGACCAGGTGTGCAGGCCGAAATACAAGATGGGCAAAAGTGCAAGCGGACACTCAGGCCAAGAGGGTATGAGCAGAGATGCATCAGCACGGGAGGCGCGTGAGCACTGCACACCGAGGGCAGTGTCGTATGCCGAGGGGCGCGTGCTGGAAACAAGGCTGGCAATCCACATTCAAGACGGTGGACCCAAAATCTGTTACTGGAAATCGGGAATGTAACGACATGTTGTCCCGCTCGTCTTATCCAGCGCGCCACGGATGGAACACGACTTCATGTGTTCTCTCCGTCATGTGCACGCACAGCTACGCAGGCAACGGGCTGGGCACTTGTAGCACCGCGGAGGAAGGAGAGGGTTGGAGGAGATGAAAACATCGTGTGGGATCATGAGGAGGAGGAAGCTCGGGCCGGCCTTGAGCTCCACTGTCTCTGCCCCCAACTTCTCGAACAGTTTCATGCTTTCCCTGCTGCTGGGGAGGGGATGAGTGGGAATGGGGATGCAGCAGGAGGATCTCGAGAGAGAGAATGAGGGGGGAGCCCGCCGCGGAGAGGCTCCCCCGCGAGGCAGCGTCCGCGCTATGACTGCCATGGTGCCCGCGACTAAGAGCCAGTTAAGCTACCAGCGCACCGGTACTTCACGGAGATCACCGAAGCGTACCGGCCCTGGGCTTAGAACTACAGACCTCGCGCCTGCTGCGAGGCGCCGCATCGAGTATGCGGCACGGAAAGGGCATGTCGTCTCTGCCAAGGACAGTGCCATCCTCTTTGCCGAGACCTGCGCCCACGCCGATGCCAGCACCAACACCAACGCCGACATCAACACCACGACGGCCAACGCTTCCGCAGACGCCAGCGCTAGCACCGACTTCATGATGAACCCGAACGCCGCCATCTTCACACCCGCAGACACTGTCCCCGGCACCATGCGCGGCGCCCAGGCGGCGGCGGGGGATAAATGGGTGCTGGCTGGGGCGGAGGCGGGCTGGGCGGCGAAGGAGGGAACGACGTCGGCGGCGGCAAGGCGGGGCGGCGGCGGCGGCACCGACACCAGCGCAGGCCGCAGCATCGACGCGATCACCGACAGCTGCAACGACGTCGGCACCGACACCAGCATGGCCTCAACCATCGACGGCGTCACCCACGTCCACCACGACACGAGCATAGACACCTACACCGACGCAATCAGCGCCAGTCCATCGCCCGTCGCCACAGTAGCCTACCCGGGCGACGAGCAGGTCGAGCACACAATCAACGCGGCCGTCCGACAAGCGCCATTCGCACAAGACCGCGAATCTGCGCATACTCGTCAGAGGCCTCGGACGTCACATCGACAACAAGGCACTGCATGCCACCTTCAGCCTATTCGGCAAGGTCTGGACCTCCCAGGTCGGTTTCGGCAAGCAAAGGTTCGCAGGGCTACGGCTCCGTCCACTTCGAGACGGAGGAGGCCGCCTGGAAAGCTACCAGCCGCACACACAGGGTACACCTCACTGCAAGGACAGGCTCTGGGCCAAAATCGTCTCCATCCACGACTCGAAGTTCGAGCAGCCTGAGCAGTACAACCCTTCTCAGTACTGGATCCTGTCCTTCGCCGACCAGATGGACCAAGAGGGCCAACTGCCAGCCTCGACGACAGCAACGACGCCAGCAGCAGCGACCGCATCGTTACCAGCACCGGCTTCCACACAGCCACCCACCGCAACGACAGCACCGACTTACAACGACGCCGGCAGCAACGCCCTCATCGACATGTCACCACTCGCATCAGCACCGACTCCAGCACCTGCATCAGCGCAGCCACCAACCCCGACGATAACACCTACGCAAGCAGCGACGCCAACAACGACGCCTGCGTCGACATCAGCACCAGCAGCAGCACCGTGACCAGCTTCGATACCACCACCGGCGCCTGCAGCAACGCCAACAGCGACGCCTGCATCGACCTCGGCACTGGCATCAGCACTGCCACCAACCCCGACGAGGACACTGACGTCTGCGCAAACACCAGCACGACCACCACTCACGACGACAACACCGACGCCCACAAAGACGCCAGTAGCGACGCATACGTCGACGGTGGCGGCGGCGCTGGAGGTGGCGGCCCAAGGAGAGGAAGCGACGGCGGATCGGGCTGCGACGGCGGCGGCAACGGCGGCGAGGGGTACCACGCTGGTGGTGGCGGCTGGGGGGGGGGGCGGCTACCGCGGTGGACGATGTTGTGGTGAAGGGGGCTCGCGACCTGGCGGCGGGGGCTGTGGCGGCGGCGGCGGGTGAGGCGGCTTCGGAGGAGGCGGCGGCGGCGGGGGTGACCGTGACGTGGGCTGCGGAGGAGATCGCGGCGGCGGCACCTGCCACGATGCCAACACCGACGCCTGCAACGGAGCCAGCAGCCACGTTAACCACGCCCACACCGATACCAGAGGTGACCACAGCATCGACACAAGCACCGACGACCGCATCAGCACTGCCACCGACTTCTGCATGGGCACCAGCACCGACTGCAGCGATGACTGCACTTGCACAACCCCCGACGTCTCCATCGGCACCAATACCGACTCCAGCGGTGACTCCAGCATTCACGACAGCACCGGAACTAGCACCGACGCCTACATCGGCACCAGCGTTGACTCCAGCATCGATCCCAGCATCGACGCGTGCACCAGCACCACCACCACCCACGCCAGCACAGCCAATAACCTCGACGATAACACCGACGCAAGCAGCGACGCCAGCAACGACGCCTGCATCGACTTCAAAATCGGCAGCAGCACAGCCACTGGCGTTGACGCCACCACACCTGCATCGACGCTGGCACTGGCATTAGCAAAGCCACCAGTAAGCGCCATGGGTCTATAGACCCACCCAAAAAATGGAAACACATTATATATTCGACGTCCTTGTTGACGGACTGGGGTCCCACCAATAATGGAAAATACTTATTTCTCCGCGGTACCTGGCGCGCAACAACGACGACGACGGCGACGACGACGACTTCGACTGCGATTGCGACTACGAAAACGATACGACTACGGCTACGGCGGGGGGGGGGGGGGCAAAACTAAAGACCTCCTGAGGTGATCGAGGCCAATACCGACGCCCGAAGAGAAGCCATCATCGACGCCTGCATCGACGAGTGCAGCAGCGGCAGCATCAGGAGATGAGGAGCCGCCCCGAAAACGGGAACGTTCTTCGGATCACAGAGCCCTGAAGACGCGAACGTTTTCCGGGTCACAGAGCCACGCATCGGCATCAGAGCTGACACCAGCACAGCTACCAGCTTCGACGCCGACAACGACTCCTGCTGCGAGGCCTTCATCCACATCAGCACCCGCACCATCACAGCGACCATCCCCGGCGCAACACTGACGTCTGCAACTGAGTCATCAGCAACGCCAGCAGCGAATCCTGCCTCGACAGCAGCACCGACACCAGCACAGCCACGAACCTCGACACAAGCAGCGACCCCAACAACGACGCCCCCATCGACATCAGCACCAGCACGAGCACACTCACCAGCAACGGCGCCGACACCAGCGACCGGGGCCGAATCCTCCAGGCTGGCCGCGGACGCGCGGGCGGGCGAGCCCCAGCCTGGCGGGTCTGCGAACCTGCGTGCCGCCGACGGGCGGGTGACCGAAGCCACGCGGGCGGAGTGCAGTGGCGACCCCACTGCTAGCCGCTGCGCCGAACCCGCCCGGATGGCTACTGACGAGCGGGCGTTCGAGGCCCATCCCGAAGGCGATCCGCACTCCTGCGCCGCCGACGGGCGGATGGCCGAAGCCGCGGGAGTGGAGTGCAAAGGAGGCGCGGCGATGGCATCGGCGCCAGCATCGGCGTCGACGCCTGCGCCGACGCCAGCACCAGCACCAACACGCCCAGCCGCACCGTCACCATCATCGACGCCTGCAGCGACCTCAGCGGCAACGCACATACCGATACCACCAGCACCAGCACAGCCATCTGCCTCGACGACTACGCCGACGTCGGCAGTGACACCATCATTATAATCTCTGGAGTCTCCAACAACCTGGCGCACGAAGCATCGCTTTATACAGATATATGTATTATGTTTTCATGTTTCTTCATTTTCTGATTATTAGCAACGCTGGCTCCGACAAAAAATGTAATCACAAAAAGTATACATAAATAGGTAAGACCATAACTTGTCATATGTTACGTCACTTGCCATATGTTCATTATTGGCAACGCCAGCTCAGAAAAATTAGATGTTCAACACATTGAGCAAACTACAGAAATAAATAAACACATGTTTTTATATATGCTTCATAATGTCTCAATTTGCCATCACATGTGCCACGTCGGCCCCAAACAAACAAACACTAAACCAAAAACAAATTACAGTACCTGCACATAAATATTTTCATGGCTTCTCATTTCATCAGATTTCAATCATTGGTGCCGCTGGCTCAGAAACAAAAAAAAAAAACATAGCTGACATACAAACATCGCTAACAAGAGATGCGTACATATGCTTCTTCGAACGTTCAAGAAATATGAAGAATCCGCCGGCCCCCTGTGGGGCCACCAGGCTGCAGGCCGAAGGTTCGCAGTCTCCTTACCAGTTGCAGCTTCCAGTCTCCACTGCTACAGTTTTGTTTCTTGCTGTTTGCTGTTCCTTGTTGATGGACCGCGCGAGGGGGGGAAGGCCCAAACGGGCAGGGTTAGCACGCCCTGAGCGTGTGCTCTGAATTGCTGGGGTGGGGAAGAATTCACACCCCTCACGCAGATCGGCGGGGTCAGGGAGCAAAAAACACATGGGATTTGCCACATGTATGAAATCCGGTGGCAACCCTGACGCAGATCGGCGGGGTCAGGGTCCAAAAACACATGCCGTATTTCTGAAATTCGGTGGCACCCCTCACGCAGATCGGTCAGCGGGGTCAGGATCCAAAAACACATAGGATTTGCCACATTTCTGAAATTTGCTGGCACCCCTCACGCAAATCGGCGGGGTCAGAATGACGCACACATGGGATTTGCCACATTTATGAAACTCGCTGGCGCCACTCACGCAGATCGGCGGGGTCAGGGCCCAAAAACACATGGGAGTTGCCACACTTCTGAAATCCGGCGGCACCCCTCACACAAATCGGCGGGGTCAGGGTCCAAAAGCACATGGGGTTTGCCATATTTCTGAAAGTACATCCCCAATAGCACTGGACGGGCTGAATCATTATGGGGTGTCTTTTTCTGCCAGAGAATAGCGCCCCCAAGGCTACTGTCCACGACAAAAAGGATTTTGAACACGTTCGCCTGAGGATTGAAATGCAGATCGACACATTCTTCGCTTAGGCGTAGCTTACAATCCTTCGGAGGACGGAACTCCTGACGATGGAACTTCTGGGGGCCATCGCGGGGGCTGAGCTTCAACGATCCCCCCGGAGATGGAACAGCAGACGATCGACTTTCTGAGCTGCGATTTTCCGTGAGAGCACTCCTGGGGCATGCGTGAATCCTAGAAACCGTCGTGATCGTAGCCCAAAATCGAAGTCGTAGCTGTCGACGTCGTTGCCGCGCAGCGGGCGCCGCGGAGGACAGCGCTAGCGCCCCCGATCGACGGGCGCCCCAGTCTTCCAATAAGGCCGCCGACAAAATAGTTGCCCCCGATTGGGGGCGCCCAAAGGACTTATCGCGACTGTCGGGACGGGTGCGAATGCCGCAATGCGCGACCTGACCGCGCAACGGCGTTCGCCCGCCCAGAGAACCTGCCGCGGCGCAACGCGTTCGGCTGGCGGAACCCGCTGGCCAGGAGCTGAGACGCGCGACCCCCCCCAAGTGTCGGCGAGAACACCGTCGCGACGAAAGAAAAGGGATTGGGGGCGGGGCGGTGGGGATCTGGGGCCCGCGTCGCGAAATTAGCACGGCGAAGGACCCAATCGCATGCAGTTGACAGCACCGCAATTGTGAACCTCGTCTTCGGTGGCGCTCGCTGCGAGGCCGAGAACCGCGAGGGCCGTCGCCTCCCTCCGGCACCTCTTCGCGCGCGCCGCAAACTACTCCAGCTGCTTCCGCAAGCCCCCCGGCGGCCCTGCCAGGAAGATCTCGATGCGCGGCGCCCGCATACGAGAGCATCGCATAGAGCTCCAGCCACCGGTCGTCGTCCTCCTTCTTGCCATTCCCAACCTCGTGGCGGCCGCAGTCCAGGATCACGCCTGGGCGACGTCGGCCGAGGGAGCAGCGCGCCAAGCAGCCGACAACCCAGGGGCCTCCGGTGGAGCTCCTTATGGGGCCACGAACCGTGTGAGCGGTGTGCTGGAATGGACGCGTGGTGGGCGGGGAGGGCGCATGCGGACGCGGTCACGGGGGCCTTCACTGGAGCTCCCCATGGGGGCACGAAACGTGTGAAGAGTGTGCCGAAATGGACGTGCGGCGGGCGGGGAGCCGCATGTGGACCCTGTCACTGGGGCCCTCGGTGGGGTTCCCCATGGGGCCGCGGACCGTGCGAAGGGTGTACCGAAATTGGCATGCGGTGGGCGGGGAGGGCGCATGTGGACGCGACCACTAGGGCCTTGGCAACAAACCGTGTGACATGTGTGTACCGACATGGGCACGCGGTGGGCGGGGAGAGCGCATACGGAAACGGCCTTCCTCCCTATAGGGCCACGAACCGTGTGAAGGGTGTACCGACATGGGCATGCGGTGGGCGGGGAGGGCGCATGCGGACGCGGCCACTTGGGCCTTCGGTTGGGCTCCCTCTGGGGCCACAAACCGTGTGAGGGGTGTGCCAAAATATGCATGCGGTGGGCGGGGGCGGGGAGGGCGCATGCGGACGCGGCCACGGGGGCCTTCATTGGAGCTCCCTATGGAGCTGCGAACCGTTTGAATGGTGTGCCGAAGTGGACATGCGGAGGGCAAAGGCAGAGGCAAGGAGGGGAAGGAGGGAGGAGGGGGAGGAAGAAGAGGAGGAGGAGGAGGAGGAGGAGAGGAGGAGGGAGGAGAAACGCGGGGCGTTCTCTCCAAAACGAGGACCCAACACAGGATGGTTTGGAAAAAAACGCGACGCCGAAGTCTGGCGAGGGGGAAGGTTACCTATCGTGGATAAACATACAACCTTCTGAATTCATTCAAGGAGTCACTCATGATCGGGGCCATGTTAGCGCGTTTGCGCGTGCGGGACGTTCCATCGACCAGATGGCGCAGCGGCCTCGTGGCGACGAGGAGAAGGACGATATCAGACCGAAGGCGATCAAACGGCAAAATGAGGAAGGTCAGACGAAGCGCCAAGTCGGGGGGATCACACAGAGAAGGCGTGGGGAGCAATATGCGCAAAGCCTAATAATAAGTCAGTGGCCCCCAAGGCCCCAGGACCTCAAACATCGCCCCACCAGAGCTCTCCCTGGGTGCGTCTTAGTCAGAACCTAGAGGCGGCTCAACCCGTGGAAACGAAGAACCCCCGACGGCCGACAGGAGAACAAACCCTGGACCCCCACCGACCCCCAAGAAAAATCGAGCCTCAGTCATCGAACCAAAGCCCCCCGACATAAACCGTCAGGAGATCCGCCTCGTAACCACCCCAAGCAAAAAAGCTCGAGCCTAGAGCCTCGAACCTCGAGGCAGAGCTCTCCACCGAGAACCCGTCGGAGATCCGACCCCCCACCCCGCCCGCAGAGACCCGCACGTCAGGCAAAGCGGAGCATGCGGTCGCCTGCCCGTGCCCTCTCGCCCTTGGGACGGAGGCGGTCCTCGTCGCTCGCCGACGTCGTCGTTTTCGTAGTCGCTCGCCGTCGTCTGCCGTGCCTCGCCAGTCGTCCGTCGTCCGTCGGGCGTCGTTCGCCGTCGTCCGTCGCCGTCCGTCACCGTCATCGCCGCCGCCGCCGCCGTCGTCGCCGTGGTCAGCGTCAGGGTCGCCGTCGTCATCATCGTCGCCAGCGTCGTCGCCCTCCGCCTGGAGAGGAGAATGCCTCCTCCTTGACGTTCGTCTTCCCCCTCATCTCTGCGAGACCCATTCCCAGCGATAGGGCGCGATGCATGGCCCGCGTGTGGCAGCCTACTTGTGGCTGTGGCCGTTACGCCTCGAGCCCGACATGGCATACGTACCTTTTTGAGCCGCGTCACTGGGCCTGTTGACTTCCAAGTTAAAAGTTCCGCCAACATGCACGATTCAGTGGCATCTACCGCCCCCCCCTGCCCAGGCGCCTTCCCCCGCACCACCTCAGCCCCTCCTCCTCCCCCAGGCGCCGTCCCGAGTCCGGCGGCGGATCCAGTTCGGCGGCGCAGTCGGACAGTCCTGGAATGGGCCTCTGACACCTTCTTCCTCCTCCTCCTCCTCCTCCTCCTCCTTCTCCTCCTCCTCCTCCTCCTCCTCCTCCTGCTCGTCCTCTTCTCTTTCTCCTCAGGCGGTGGAGGACTGCGTGCTCCCCTCCGTGGATTTCGGAGAGAGCCTCCTTAGAAGCCTGAGCTAGGTGTCGAGGCCAGTCGCCCTGTCTGAACGTCAGAACAACCCGTTCGCATACTTGTCCACTCGCTCTTCCTCATCCTCCTCACCCCTATCCCCATCCTCCCCCTCTCCCTTCTCTCTCCCCCCTCCTCCTCCTCCTCCTCCTCCTCCTCCTCCTCCTCCTCCTCCTCCTCCTCCTCCTCCTTTTCGGTCGGTGCTATCGGCCCGCCTGTTCTTCTCGTGCTCGAGGTTGATCTTCTCGGCATCTCCACCCTGCTGCCGCCTCATGATCAGATCAGCCACCTTTGGCCACGAGGGAAGGGGAAAGATAGGGAAGGGAGGGAGAAGGCAGGGGAGAGGACGAATCAGGAGGAAAAAAGGGATCATGACGAGGGATGGAGGACACGTGAGGGGTGCTGGGGGGGAGGGGGAGCAGAAGAAGGAGGATAATGGAGGAGTAGGCGAGAGGAGGGGGCAATGCGAGAGCTACCAGGGAAAAAGGAGGAACATGAGGGATGATGAGTAAAGGAGGAGGGATGACGAGCGAGGAGGAGGGCAGGGGAAAGCAAACTGGAGACGGAGGAAAAAGGGAGGCGCAATCGGGACTTGGGGAAAAGAGGGGCGAGGATTGGGTTGTGGAGGGTCAGGAAGGGAAAGGAGAGATAATGAAGAGGAACGATAAGAAATTATACATCACAGCACGAGTGAGGAAGGATCATGAGCATGAGGACGGCGGCGGAACAAGACAAGATCGGAGGCATAAGAGGAGGAGGAGGGAGGAGAAAGGGATGGAGTGAAGAGGGGAGAGTGGGGGAGGGAGGAGGATGGAGCGGCAGAGGTATGGTGATGTGGAAGGGGGTGGGAGGCAGGAGAGAGTGAAGGGAGATGAACGTTCAGAGATCAGGAGGCAAGCGGGCCAGCGGGCCAGCGGTCGGCGCCGCCGCCCGGCGTCCTGGGTCTCCCACCTGACGCGCTCTGGGTGGGGAGTGGCGCTGCGAAGCTCGGAGCAAACCGGGCGACTCCCCGAATCAAAAAACCTCCGCGGCGGTTTTGGGAGGGCGCCTACGATTTAAGAAACTTGGCCCGTAAGAAAGTGGCAGCCCCTGGCGCGCTGAACATGGACGCGGCATAAGAAATCCGCAGGGGATGAAATGAAAAACCAACTTTCTTATTGAGCGCCGTGGGTGTAGGACGAAGATGCAATGAACGGGAAGGCAGACGGGGATGGAAGAAAGGGCTCCTGCGAACTGCCGATTCCGAAGCCCTGCGCTCTCACTGGCTTCGTCGTCGGGGGCCACCGCCGCCGCCATTGTCGCCGCCGTCGTCTCGGGGGTTGCCGCCGTCGTGGATTTGCGTTGCCGCCGTCGTCGCCGCCGCAGCCGCCGCCGTCGGCGTCGTCGTCATCGTCGTCGGCGGCGGCGTCGGCGTCGGCGTCCTCGTCGTCGTCGTTGTCGTCGTCGTCGTTGTCGTCGTCGTCGTCGTCATCGTCGTCGTCAACGTCGTCAACGTCGTCAACGTAGTCAACGTCGTCGTCGTCGGTGTCGTCGTCGTCGTCCTCCTCACGAGGCCCCCCTCGGAGTCTGGGGCGGGCCGCCGGCGGGGGCCTCCTTCCGGCTGATCGGCCTGTCCCTGCCAGTCCTCCGAGGGGGGGGGTCCCGCGCTCGCGACGGCGGGAACAGCGAGGTGCCCAGCTCCAGGGGAAGGAGGAGGAGGAGGAGGAGGAGACGGGGCAGGAGGAGGAGACAAAGGGGTGAGGGATCTAGAGGATGGGCTGCAGAGGAAGGAGGAGGAGGAGGAGAGGAGGAGGGAGATCAAGGGGAAGGGGAGGAGGAGGAGGAGGAGGAGGAGGAGGAGGAGGAGGAGGAGGAGGAGGAGGAGAGAAGGGAGAGGGGGAGGATGGGGATAGGGGTGAGGAGGATGAGGAAGAGCGAGTGGACAAGTATGCGAACGGGTTGCTCTGACGTTCGGACAGGGCGACTGGCCTCGACACCGAGCTCAGGCTTCTAAGGAGGCTCTCTCCGAAATCCACGGGGGGAGGAGGAAGAGCAGGAGGAGGACGAGCAGGAGGAGGAGAAGGGAGAAGTGGGGGAGGGAGAGGGGGAGGGGGCTGGGGCAAAGGGAGAGGGTGAAGGAGGGGGAGAAAGATTTGTGGCAGAAGGCAGAGGGGGATCGATAAGAGTTGCGATAACCAGGACGGTGTAATGATGATGGTGATGACGATGACGATGCTGCTGATGATGATGATGCTGATGATGTTGATGAGAATGATGATAACGATGATGAGGATGGTGCTGATGATGACGATGATGATGCTGATGGTGATGGTGTTGATGACAATGGTGATGCTGATCATGCCCATGGTGCTAATGTTAATGATGACTATGATAATGATAACGGTATGCTTGAGGGTAATGATGGTGGTGATGACGCTGCTGCTGTTGATGGTGATGTTGCTGATGATGATGATGCTGCTGCTGCTGATGATGATGATGATGATGATGATGATGATGATGAACAACGTGGAGGCTCCTGGACAACCTGCGACGGCTTAGGGATGTAGTATGTGAGTTTCGTATGCTTAGGCAGTCCAACCAGGCCCTGCTCCCCAGCACCCTCCTCACTCCCTGCGTCCCACATTCATCGCTTCATCCCTCGTTTCACTCCCCCTGCCCCTCCCTCCTCCACCCGACATCCTCTGTCATCCCTCGGTCCTCCCTGGTCTCTCCTGCCTCCCTCCGACCTTCCTCCTCCCTTCTGTATCATTCCACCCTTCCTCCTCCGTCCCTCGACAGCACAGGGTAGGGTGCCATACCCTGGAAGGCAAGTGTGGACGACCACCCACCTCCTCCCTCCCTCCCGCTCCCCTCCTTCCCCCCTCTTCCCTCGCACCCCTGCGCAAGCCCTGAGGGGTGCGCCCCCTCCAACGCCTACGTCTGGTTCGGGCAACGTCCCGAAGGACAGCGCACCCGCCCTCGCCGGGATGGCCTGCAGACCCTGCGGGGTGGACGGACAGGCAGAAACTCATGCGAACTGCGCCCGAGGCCCAAGGCGCGTAGACTCGAGCAGACTTTGAAATGGCATCAGCCACCGTGCCTTGGCGTGTTAGAATCTGGGCTGGCACGGGAACGGAAAGCGCGCTTTTATGGAGCGGACGCTTGAGCATGGCCACAGGGGTTTGGCGGCCGTTCACGCGGCAGCGGTTTTGACATAGGATCATCATGGACAAGTCTTGGAGCAAACTGGAGGGCGAGGCGCGTTGAGACGGCCGCCGCAAAGAGGAGAGCGCAAGAGGGAAAAGAGGGGAATGAGGAGAGAGGAAGACTGAGAGAGTGCGTCTGCGAAGGATACAAGGACGGGGTGAATTTAAAGAGAAGGGGTGCCTTACATCTTCTACAACTTGCGGGCGTGCTCCGTGCCGGAGGGCGGAGCAAGGGACAGTGGAAGACGCGGGGGCGGGGGGGAGGCAGCCGGCAGGTGGGAGAGATGATTGGGACGGCTCGGAGAGAACGAAGACAGCAGAGAAGAGCCTACCTTCTTGTACAGTCGGGCTGCTGAAATAAGGAACGCAAAATAAGAGACGAAGCCCCTCTGTGGATTCAAAAAAGCCTGGGTGCACGAGACGGGCTAGAGGAACAACCACGGAAGGACGTGAGGAACATCGAGCCCCTTCCGAATCCCGACTGTTCCTTATTTCAGCGTCTTGGCTGTATCACCGTTCACTCCTGAAGTTGTGTGTCATTGAAGGTATTGGGGGCCTCTTGAGAGGCTCTGGGAGGCATCTTGAAGGCATGTATGTATGTATGTATGTTTGTATACTTGTATGGTTGTAAGTCCCACCAGCCCTCTGGGCGTAGGTGGTCTAGAGCAGATCCTCTTCCACCCCTCCCTCTTCCCCCTTGGGGAGGGGTTTACCCCTCCCCCTACCCCCTCCCCTGGACCTGGACGGGGGGGGCCGCGGGTAGTTAGAGCGTCCAAGATGGCCCAAGACGGCTCCAAGAGCGCCTCAGAGAACCCAAGATGAGCTCCAAGATGGCTCAAGATAGCGCAAGATCGCTCACGATGGCTCCTAAGATGGTTCCAAGAAGCCCAAAGACGGCCCCAAGATAACTCCAAGTGGCCAAACAGCTCCCCAAGGAGGCCCCGAAGAGGCCAAAATCGTCCCAAAACCTAAGGAAAATCAATGATTTTTGCTTTCTCGCCTTTTCGCTTCCGATGGCCATCCGAGGCCTGGAGATGGCTCCAAGATGGCCCAAGAGGGCCCCAAGAGAGCCCCAAAAGAGCCCCAAGACGGCCCCAAGAGCGCCCAAGAGCACTCCAAGAGCGTTCCAAGAGGGGTCCAAGAGGCGATTTTAGGGGCTTCCGAGGGGGGCGCTAATTAAACCCCCCCTCTTGTTTGATCGACTCCCTCCAAGATGGCCCCAAAAGCGCCCCGAAGGCTCCCCAGAGCGCCTCAAGAGGGTCCCAAGAGGCGCCCAAGATGCCCCAAGGCGCCCAAAAAGCCCTCCAAGAGGCCCTCAAAAGACCCCCAAGAAGCTCCTTCCCCTCCTCCTCCTCCTCCTCCGATTCTTCCTCCTTCTCCGTCCTCCTCCTCCTCCTCCTCCTCCTCCTCTTCCCCCTCCTCCTCCTCCTCCTCCGACGACGACGACGACGACGACGACGACTCCTCTTCCATCCTCCCCCTCTCGGGGTCTGTGACAGCTTCCCCCGCCCTTTGTTATTCTGCATGCTCCCCGACTTCCCTGATCACCTCAACTCCCCTGAGCATCGTTTCTGGATGGGCTGGTGGGGATACGCGAAGCGTCAACAATTTGTATAGGTGTATGTATGTATGTATGTGTGTATGTATGTATGTACGTACGTACGTACGTACGTACGTACGTATGTATGTATGTATGTATGTATGTATGTATGCATGCATGCATGCATGTATGTATGTATGTATGTGTGTATGTATGTATGTATGTATGTATATATGTATGCATGTACGTATGCATGTGGGTAGGTATGCGTGTATGTATGCATGTATGCATGTATGCCTGTATGTGTGTATGTGTGTATGTATGTACGTAGGTGTATGTATACATCGACCATCGGCCCATCACACCACCGTGCCTGGCTTGTGGGTGAGAGGCGTGTTTCATGCATCTGAGGGACTCCTATGATCCTGTACGGGGGCGGCACGGAGGCCTGGAAAATCAACGAATTTGGCCACTCTGGGCCTGACTGGATGTCCTCTTGAAGCCTTCTTGGGCCATCTTGGGGCCCTCTTGGGCCATCCTGTGGCCCTCTTGGGCTATCTTGGGAAGCTTGTGCACTCTTAGTGCCCCATTGGAGACCTCTTGGACCCCCTCGGCGGCTTCGGATAATCCTCCTGGAGCTGTCCTGGGAGCCTCTTGGGCTCTCCTTGGGCCGTCTTGGAGCTTTTAAGGGCCATCTTGGCACCCTCTTGGGCCGTCTTGGGCTCTCTCGGGTTCCTCTCGGGGCGATATCCGAAGCCCCCAGAGCCATCTTGGGCCGTGGTTGGTCCGAAAAAGCGATAACCCCCAAATCCTTCAAACACCATATGAACATCTAAACTGTTTGCCTCCTGAGGTCCTCTTGGAGGTCTCCGTGGGGACCCCAGACGGTCTGGGCGCACTTGGACCGTCTTCGGGTCCTCTTAGGTCTCTCTGAGACCGTCTTGGATGCATCTTTGGCCATAGGTCTTGAAGCCTCCAGGGCCGAAGACGCTGCCAACATGACCCCCCCGAGGGCGTGTTCAAAATTCCGGTCCGCCGCGCCACCCCCGGACACCCCCCCACCCCCCCACAGGGGCTAAAGCCATGTACAACACTTCTCCCGCTAACGCTCTTTCCGTCATGCTCTCCTGTTGTCTTGTGCTGTGGTTGTACATGTTTTCTAGGGTCGACCCCTCCCCCTCCGCAGCCCGCGCTCTCCGAAAACCGCCCGCCCCCCTCTCCCTCTCCGGAACCGTTGTTGGGTCATGCTCCCAACTACGTAAATGTAATGAAAAATACCCGAGACGTACCCAACCCCTTCTCACCGCAAGGCCAGTGTTTACATGAACGTTCCATACACAGGAGCACTTTGCCGCGAGAACAATCTACATCGCTGGACTCACAAGGAGCCCACGAAAGTGGCGACAGTCGCGCACTTGGCAAGTTCCCAAAGAGCAGCGAGGCCTGTCGACCGCCTCCACTGGAGAGGAGGAGGCAAGAGGCGGGAAGAGGGGGCAAGAACAGGCTGGAGGCCACAGCGCTCAATTCACAACGAGAACCCAACACGCAGGGAGGCGAGAACAATAAAACAAAAGAAAGCAGCCCCCCCCCCTGGGGTGTCAGCACCAGCCCCGAGGGGGGTCAAAACAGGCCCCCCCCGAGGGGCGCCTAATAGGCCCCAGGAGGCCCCCGAGACCCCGAGAGGCATCCCAGGAGACTCCACGAGGCAGCCAAGAAGCCTCCGGCCCACGGAGGCCCCCTGGGCTCTCCAAGCGATGCTACACTCCCCCGAGAAGGGCAGCTCCCCTGGACTGAGGGGCAACGATAAGGGGGGGGACTGGCATAGGGGGGGGAACATCGACCTGGAACCGGCGATACATCGCCGATAGATCGGCGATAGGCCTCCGATAGTGAATCCGCACCCTCCTGGGCAGGTTGGGGCTATCGGGCCCCTATCGGCGATCAACGGGCGATTGGGGGTCGATGCATCCCCCCCTATGGCTATCCCCCCCTATCGTTGCCCCCCATGGACATCGTTCCCAGGTGGGCAGGCGGGGAAATGCGAAGCTTTGAAAATTGAGCTCGTTCTTGTCACGTGCTACGCTGTTGCACAGGCACGGTGGCGGCCTCTACGCCTCGCACCACGCTGGTTGCACAGGCACGGTGGCACGGTGGCAGCTGGACAATTTGCCTCTACGCCTTCGCATCACGTACGCACGTCGGCGTTGAGGTGCTCGGTGCCCTCCCCGACAAAACTGCGAATTCGTTCATGGGACGACATCTTGCGTGAGAGGGATCGTGCTTCGCGGCACGCGCGCTCTCTGCCGTGGGACGTCATCTTCCATAGCACGTGCCACGCGGCCAGAGGAGATACGCTGTTCCTGGTGATGGCGCTGGTCCAACAGCAACCTACGTACCGCCTTCAGATCCGCTTCGTCTAATATCCTCCACGCGCACACACTATATCTGCCACCATGCCCCGATGCACGAAGTGGAGTGCCATCATCGGGGAGACGTAAGACCCGGGTACGGGGGACTCGGAAATCCCCGACGAGGTCGTCAAAAAAATGACGAGGCCGAGCCTGCATTTTGACGAGGCCTCCCGCTGCAGACATCCCACAAAACTCCTCCTCGTCAAAATCCGAGTCGCGGTCGTCAAAAAACGATGGCGAACCCGAGTCCCGGCAAACCCGGGTCTTACGCTCCCCCGACATCAGGTAACGGGTGAAAAGAGGTAGGCGTGCTGGTGGCCTTGCCTCTGCCGGCGCGCCAGTGGCGCGCAGCCCACATCAGTGAATTCATGAAGCCGAAAGTGCCAGGCTGGCTGCGGCAGGCCGCCGGCAGTCTAGCCAGCCGCCGAGGAGGGAAGGAGGGAGGGGAGGGGCCGCCAGGCCGCCGATGCCCCCCACAGCCGCCTATGCCATCAGGTCCCGTGGAGCCATTTGCATTGAGCATTGAATCTTGCAAGTGCTCTTTTTGGGGCCCACCGCCCCGAGTACTGGTGCTTTTGGGCGTTCTCGGGGCTCGTCGCGTGACTTCTCCAGAAGATAAAAGCACGCAGTCTCACCAGAGGTATCCTCGAATCTATCAGCGAAGAGCACTGCTGTGCCAGGGTGGCCCTCGAGACCGGGGGCCTCCAAGAGGGCTCGTAAACGCTCCAGGAGGCTCCCCAAGATATTCCGAAGAGGCCCGAACCCCCCCCCCTGGTCCTCCGGTCCATGCACGCGACCACGAAGCTGCCCAGGGAGGCATGACCGATGAGCGAGCGCGCGCCTCAATGGAGGGGTGCCTCGATCGGCCTCCTCCATCTCCTGCTCGCCCTCGCCCCCTCCTTCTCGTCGTTGGACTCCTCCTCGACTTCCTCGTCCTCCTCCTTGCCCTCGACCTCGTGCAATAGTTATCCTCCCACTCCTCGCCCCCCCTTCTCGTGCCCTTATCTCCCTCCTTCTCCAAAGCCACTCGTCACCCTCCTCTCCCTCCGCCCGCCCCCCCCCCGCTCGCACAGCTCTGGCATCAGACATGATTCAGGCCTGGCGTCCACTGCTGGGCCCAGGCGCGGCGTGTTACGGAGGTCAGCTCCTGCACGACATGCGAATCTTCTGTGAATTGGCCTCCCCGCTTTCCTCCTCCTCCTCCTCCTCCTTCTCCTCCTCCTCCTCCTCCTCCTCCTGCTCCTCCTCCTGCTCCTCCTGCTCCTCTCCTGCTCCTGCTCCTGCTGCTCCTGCTGCTGCTGCTCCTCCTCCTGCTCCTCCTCCTCTTACTCCTGCTCCTATTCCTTCTCCTCCTTCTCCTCCTCTCTCTCCCTCTCGGCCTGAGGGTTCGTCCTCCTCCTCCTCCCCTCCTCCCTTTCACGTCAGACAGATATGAGGCGTGAAGCCTGCTGCGCTCTTGACTGTGAGAACGCACCGACTGAATACGACTTGGCGCGGGAAACACCCGGCGGGCGCCGCAGAAAAAAAAGAGGAGCGCGGACGAGCGGGGCACTTGGAGGAGGCGCCCGCCAGGTGGAAGCGGCAGCACATGTGCCGAGTAAGACGGCCCCCGATCGCAGTACCCGATGGCTTCCCCAATATTTCTGGTACTTGCCGACGGACGTGCAAGAATGATTTGTCGGTCGCGTCCGCGAGCGAAGGCGCAGGCGGAGTCAGAAGCTGTCCAGGGCGCGGAAACAGGCCTAATTAGCTAGTTGGCGCGCCGCAGGCCGGCCGGGCCAGCTCACAAAGCACGTGCAAGGATAAGCAGAACCCCCAAAAAGTGAGCGCGTGTACCAACATCGGGAGCAGATCAGTGAGGGCAGGAGGCGCACATGCGTGGCGCAATCAGCGTAGACTTACTCAAGTGCTGGGGGTAAGTCGGGAAAGAACGTGGCGGCAGCCGCCAAAGGTACAGAGTAACCCGTGCCGCAATGTGCTTGATAGGCTGCCTCTGCGGGATGAAGCCTTGCTGGATCTGATGCACCTCCTGCTGCGCTGCTCGTTTGAGCTTGCTGTTCATGGTAGCCGCCAAATTCTGAATGTCGCTCTGATATTCAGCAGAATGGGCCTCAGGGCATGCGGGTGTCTTAAGATCTCGATGCGGTCCTCTGGCTCGTCTCCTTTGGTTAGCATCACCATGTCGCCGTAATTGAGGCCAGGGGGCACAGGTAGTCCGCCAAAGATGTGCAGCAACAGGTCGTAGAGGCATGCCAACAGCTTGTCGTGCGCGGCCCAGGCCGAGTACGTGAGCCGATCTGGCCCAGGTGCGGTGTCCGTGATCTTGGGCCTAACATGGCGCATGTCGTTGAGCGTCGGCACGCCGATGGCAGGCGCTGGTCGATCGGGCATGCGCTTTTCCAGGTACGCCTCGATGACAATCTCATCCACACTAGTGTCCCGGAAGATCGGCGCGTCGTACCACTCCGGTTTCATCAGCGTGCTGCGGGCCCCGGGCTTGCTGAAAGCCTCCAGGCCGCGCCATGCGAACACCCGACAGGACGAGACGACGTCGGTGCTGTGTCCACTGCATGGCGCGCCGCTGCGCGGAGCGTGCGATCTTGCGGGTGGCAGACGCACTCACGGGCAAGGCGAGGAGGAGGAGGAGGAGGAGGAAGAGGAGGAGGAGGAGAAGGAGGAGGAGGAGGAGGAGAGGGCCGCGGGGGCACCAGGGGCACCCAGGGAGCGTGATGTTCCGCGCCGCTCTGCAGCCCGACCACGGGAGGTGCAGCCGCCAAGGCCGCAGCAACAGGATAAGGAGGAGCAGGAGTGGGACCTGGACGCTTGCGGCCCGAGCAGGAGCAGAAGCAGGGGGAGCGGTGGGCTGCACGAAGAACAAATGAGGGGGGAGGAACTGGGCAACGGGAAGACGGAGGAAGGAGGGACGGGCGAGGGACGAGGGGAGAGAGGGAGAAAGAACAGAGAAGGAATATGAAGGTAGATGGTAATATGTCGGGGGGGGAGAGGGGGAGGGGGAGGGGGAGGGGGAGGGGAAGGTTGAGGGTGAGGAGGAGGAGGAGGAGGAGGAGGAGGAGGAAGAGGAGGAGGAGGAGGAGGAGCGAACAAACGAACCCAGGAGGGGGCGAGTCAACGTCTAGCGGCCAGCACCTGCGCTGGCTGCGTCAGGAGGCGCACGAGGCGGCACAGGCGGCGTGCATTCTGCGTAATTTACGTTTCGAGGCGGAAGACAAGAAAGAGGGGGGGGAGAAAGGCAGACCAGCGGCAGGCGGCGGGCCCGCGCTACTGCCTCCGTGCGGCGACGCGCCGAATCGGAGGGCCTGGCGTGCGGCGGCACGCGCTTCACTCAGGTGGTTGTACGTCGAGGCCTCGACCGCGTTCACGTCGCTGTAGGAGGCCTGAAAATCCTTGTATGTGTGGTACATGCGGTAGGCGACGGCCAGGCAGACCATCGCGTGGAAAACGTGGTTTTCGTTGTTCGGGTCGACGTTGTGACAGCTTTCGTGCATCCAGAGGCGGGCCAGTAAACAGTTCGATAGGCTGCCCCTGGGATATGCCAATGCATGCCACAGCCTGGGGCACAGTGGTAGTGCGAGATGCGGTCCGTAGCGTAGTTTGCGCTGCACCCGTATATGCATGGGCGGCGATCAGGTTGTACATGGAGACGGCATGAACATGGCCAGGCGCCAGCCAGGGTCTTCAACGTAGGCCAGAATCGTGAAGGTGGCATGCGGGCAATCGCTGCTCGCGTGCGCCGGCAAATGTGTCTTGACACTGTTCGGGAGCTGGTACAATGCGGTCAGGCCCTTGAAAGAGCCAGCATCAGGATGAAAATGCTCGTTGGTCTCATCGATGTAGGTGTTGCCGGAGGGGTCAGAGACGAAGTCGGCCATACGCATCTACCGGCGGCGAAGACGATGATCCTCGGCGGCAAGGTTGAACGCTGCTTGTACGCCATTTGATCTCGGCATCCTCGTCATGTATATCGCCCTACCATGGCGGTCGGCGTCTGAGTCGTGCCAGGCTTGTCGGCAAAGGTTGCGAGCACGGCAACGGAGGTCTTCTTCCGACGCAGCAGGGTAGAGGATGTGGAAACTTCATATGCGAAGATGACGGAGCACATATTGTTCACACCAGTCCATCCAATCGACGTCTCGGCGTAGCGCGTGGTCCCAATTGTCGGCGCACAGGTCGGGCAGCCAATCCGCAGCCCAATGCGCGAGTACTTCAGCAAGAACATGTAGTTCACGAGCGGCAGCGACATGGCCATCATGGTTCTCATCAAGTGTGGGGACATGAGAAAAAGTAGTACGAGTCGATGCCGGCTGAGATGGAGTCGGAAACGTAGAGCTCAGCACTGCCCGGGTAGCGGGGCTGAGTAGTGGGTGTTCATCTCCTGCCGTGGGATCACGCCCGTCTGCGGCCATGGGGGCGCACGGGAGCCAGGATTTCAGCCTCTTCACGATGGTGATGTCGAAGTTGTCCTCGTAGAGACGAGTCTGGAAGGTGGTCGGGTACTTCGATCGAGGTGAACTGCGTCGATGCACACCAGCACAGGCGCAAGAACGGGGCGACGTGGCGGCGAGAGCGCCGCGGCCGCAGCATTGCGATGGGCACCCGGAAGTAGTTGTCGAGCGGAGCCTGCGTTCTTCATTCTTTCTAGAAACATGAATATGGAGCCATTGGCCGCAGGGGAAGCAGCGCCGTTCTTCGCCGCTGGGAAATGTTGGACAATCGAGAATGGCGCGGCCCAACATGCGGCCAACAAGCGCCCCTTTTCACCGTAGCGACGATGGTGGGTTCTCCATGGCGGACTTACTAAGTACGTCTATCAGCGGGGGCCAACTCTTGATGGTAGTGGTAGCAGCTCTCCACAGCATCGCACTCAGCAGTACTTCTGCGCCCGTGGGGGCGTCAGCTCCAGCCCAATTCTTCAGACCCAACATGCCCAGATTGGTGAAGGCCGAGGGCGGCGAGCGGATTAATCTTGTGGAGGACGTGGGTCTCGCGGGTGAGAATCAGCTCAGGCACAGGAAAGAGTTGGCCAACATAGGATAGCGTCGTCAGCGCGGAAGAGCTGTACGACTTGATGTTCTGCTGGAACGGAGCGTGATATTCGCCGAGGATCTGGGCATTGCAAAGCCACTTGGCGGCAGGGCCAGACAATTGCGCACGCTCGTCGGCTCCAGGCCCCATGAAGACGCCGAGGTACTTGGCAGAAGACCCGATCTTGAAGAGGGCTCAATCGGCGTGTACGTGAGCAAGAGTGTCTTTGATGCCGTCGATCAGGTCGGAAGAGGCAATGGTCCAGACGGGGGCCAAGACGAATTTGCGTGATCGAAGGTAAAGGCCAGCGTATTGAGCAATCGCAGACAGGTGAGGTCGCAGTCCTTCAATGTCGCTTAGACATTCAAGTGCGCACCCAAGATCATCCGCACATGCCGTGGCAATGCCCCTTGGGACTGTCTTGAAGAAGTCGTTGATACCGACCAGTGGGGGGCCGAAGGTTAACGCCCAGATGGCGCCACTGAGGGGGCAGCCTTGCGCAAACCCGCTAGAGGCGAGGAAAAGCGGTCGGCGTGCGCCCCCCATTTCGAGTAGAGCGATCGGCACGTGGTAAAATGTTTGAATCAGGGTGAATATGCGCCGAATATACCCCATCTCTGTAGGTGGTTCCACATCCAGGCATGCGAGAGGCTCGGGAAGGCGGCCGCAATGTCCATTCGCAAAGCATGGCTGAAGAGCTCGAGCATCAGGGGGGGCGCGGTGCTCGCGACAGAATGTGTCGACCTGGACAACGTTGTCCAAGAGTTGTCGCCCAGGGACAAGGCCTCGCTGGATGGGCGAGATCTTCTTCATCAGCGGCCTGGGCGTTCTGTTCGTGGCGGACGCGATGATCGCCACGCCGGCGCTCTTCATGGCGAGGGGGCGCAACTGTCCAGGCTCACGGGTGCGCTCTGATTGCCCAGCAAGCTCGTCTCCTTTCGGTGACATTGCCATCGTGGCGCGGTTAAGCGTGCGCGGGATAGCGAGGCCGCTGGACAGATGAGTGGCGAGCTCGGCAAGGACGGGGAAACTGTTGGGAGTGACGAGACAGGCACGATAAGGAAGGCCGTCAGGTCCAGGCGCAGAATCAGATGCGTCTTCGCTGCCAGAAAATCGGGAATCGCGGCGTCGAAGGTCGGCGTGCGGGGGAAGACCCGGCCGAGGTAGGAGCTCATGGCTTTGGCGTCTACGGGCTTGTCGGTGAAGATCGGGATCCACTTGGCTTGAATGGCGGAGTGCATGTCCATGGGGCCCTTGAGCAGCGCATTGGACGCGCCGCGGGACACTCGGATACCAGCAAGCCCCAGACGCTTGGAAAAGGGCTTCCACAGCCCCCCGCCCCCGCGCTCAGCGTTGACTCGTTTCCGCCACCTGTCGCCTCGAAGCTGCCGCTGTTCTTGAAAAGCTTGGCAAGCGGCGGCGGCAGCCTGAGCGCGTCGCTCAGAGGCCGCGGCGCGGTCGGCGGCGGCGTCAGTCGCGAAGAGCGCAGGGTCCTTCAGCGCGATGGCAGAGAAGCAGT